CAACAGAATAGGGGCGAAACCCAAACCGACGAAGGAGGACAGACTGCGCTGACAAAAGGACAAGTGGGATCGAGAGCAGGCGGCATTGGAGATGTTGAAGAGCAAGGTTGCGGCGGCGCCTGTGCTGCGGTATTTCGAGCCAGATCGGATACCGGTGGTCGTAGTATATGCGAGCGATTGGGCGATCTCCGCGGCCTTAGTGCAGGAGCACGATGGCACGTATATGCCGGTAACATCACCAGTCGCACGCTGAAGCCCAATGAGCCCAACTATGGTATGGTCGAGAAAGAGATACTGGCCCTTCTCCGGATCCTGGACGTGTGCTACTCCACACTGGTCACGAAGTCGATCAAGGTTCTAACACGGCACTCCACTCTAGCATGGCTGATGCGATCCACAGGACTCCAGGGCAGACTAGGTGTTCAAGAGTGTGCAACAATACGTGGGACAATGCACGGCTTGTGAAACCGGGAAAGGACGCCTGACACTACGAGGAGAGTCGCCGGGTAACATTCAAGCAACGTACCCCTTTCAGTGTGTCGCGATGGACCACATCCCGTCTCTACCGAAGTCGCATAAAGGGAACACCGAGCTGCTCATCTGGGTCGATCTATTCACAGGTTACGTGATAGCCAAAGCTAGCGCGTCAAGGACTGCGCAGACGATCGCGGAGAGCTACGAGGAGTGCGTATTCCGCAGACTCCGAGCAAGTGAAGCCATCCGGCACGATCGGGAACCAGGATTCATGTCTGATTTTTTCCGCGCCTTCAACCGCATAGTGGGGCAGAAGCAGCGTGCCACTATGGCGTACCGCCCATAAGCCAATGGGACGGCAGAACGGATGGTGCAGACTCTGACCAGAGCCTTGAAGATGTATGTCGCAGATATAAACCAGATATAAACCAGAAAGACTAGGACGAGTACGCGGGAGGTCTGACGTTTGCCCTCAACACGGCGTACGATCGTGTTCGAGGCGAAAACGCCATTCTATTTGATCCATGGGTGGGGCACTCGATCTACGTTGGAATCGACATTGCCGCTTGGGAGCACTCGGCGCTGGGACGTAGAGCCACGCCGGTGGAGATACAACGTTCAATGACAGTACCAGCAGGCACGCAGGCTAGCCAACGAGGCGCTACGCAACGCGATCGAAGGAAGAGCATATCGACACAACGAAGATGTGACCACGCATGACATAAAGGCAGGTGATCAAGTATGTCTATACTTAGATCGGGTTAAGGAAGGCTACACTCCCAAGCTCGCGCATATGCGGCACAGCCAATTTAGAG